TAATTAATAATCAGAAACGCATTTAAGAATTTTGACTAACATTTCATGGGATGGATCACTGACTTTAAACCGCATAGATCACCCATCAATGACGTCCCGATTATTTAACACAAAGCACATAATTCTGATAGAAATGCAAATATTTCTCGGGGAGCTAACTTCAAAAACTGCGCTTCATCTGCAAACACATGAAACTTTTTTTCCAAAAAAGTTCATTAACTAATGTCATCCTCTGTCACACTGGCGCATATATTGTTAGTAGATAAATAAATGTGTTTTATTTATTAGGCACTCATAAGGGTACTTTCCGTTGGCCTGAAGTAATCAAGGCTCATTGAAGGCATAGAGAATAGGTCGGAACAGAAAAAAGCAAAACAGTGGCAACAATTCTCCTTATGCGTAACACAAAAACATTTTTATGAACAGGAATGGTGCAGTTCCTTACCGAATTCCATATAATATATTTGTAGTATCTGTACCCGCAGATGCTTGCCCATGCAAAAGTGGTATATGAGTTTTGACTTAGGGAGCTACAACTCGTAGGAGTGACACGTCATCCAGTGTGACTTTTACTGGTGGCGGCTGCTTCAGCAGGCCCTTAACTGGCATTCGCTTTTCATTTGCTGCTCCAGAAGCTTACCTCTGCCTAGCGACCGCACCAACTTACTGACTCAAGTGACGGCCTGAAAGAGTCGAGGGTACGCGGAGTGTGTGAAGGGCACACCAATGGGTTCGCCGATTTCGGGACTCATAGCCGAGGCGGTCCTACAACGGCTGGAGTCGCTGATTTTCCGACACCACAGATCGAAATTCTGGGCCCGGTATGTGGATGACACCGTCGTCACCGAACGGAATCAGGTGCTGACATTCAAAGAACACCTCAACGCCGTCTTCCCTGACATTCAAATTACGATGGAGGAGGAAGGGAACAACCAGCTGGCCTTCCTGGCCATCCTCGTATGCCGCAAAGATTGTGTTGGACTAAAGACCAAATTGTTCACGAAAACGACAAATGTGATGCAAGTACTGAACTTCAACAGCAACCACCAAATCAGCCACAAACGCAGTTGTGTATGGACGCTCTATCGGCGTGTCGAAACACACTGCAGTGAGCCCGAAGACAAGATTGCCTAACTACAATTCTTCCACGGGTAATGAGAGCCAATGGTTACCCGCGCAACTTTGTCAACCAGTGCATACAAAAACGACTCCGGAGACCAAATACAACCTGCTTCAAATTTGTGCGGGCTCTTCTGTGCGTGGAGAACGTCTCGGAAGCTGTCAGTCGTCTTCTCACCCCATTTGGATTTGGGGTTGCACACAGGCCGGAAGCAACCATTAGGCGCCAAGTCATGAGGCCAAAAGACCCACTGCCACGGCAGGACACGTCTGGAGTCATTTACCGGATCTGGTGTAGTTGCTGACAAAGCAATTATGTCGGAGAAACTGGGAGATTACTCCGTACGCGAATTGCCGAGCACGCAGCAGCAGTGAGGCGGGGAGACGCTAACTCTCAAGTGGCGGCACACTCGACGGGACCCGGCCATATTTTCAAATTTCAAGAGGCCGAAAGCCTCGCAAGGGGTGACAACCGCGTGAGCCGCGAGCTGCTCGAGTCATGGTTCTCAGGCCCGCAATCCATCAACAAGCACAATGACCTCCCGGTACCCTATAGCGTACTGCGATTTTCTCTGAGCAGGAGAATCAGTCACGTGGGGAGGGCGCGGGCGAGCAATCATCACGGTGACTGTGAGCCAGTTTGCCGAGGAATCGTCACACCAGCATCCAGCACGGATGACGAAGTCGCGGCAATTAACGACTCGGACTCGGTCGACAAGCCACCACCGCATCAAATACGACCGTAACGGTGACTGCCAGAGCTATTAATTACAGTGCGCATACGGTCCCACGGCAGCCACGTGCTATAAATACTGCAATCCCTTTGTCACCATCACCTTTATCTGCGACCGTCTCTGATGGCGGATTCGAGTGAGACTCCGAAACGTTAGGCCAATTAATTTCTTGTTCCAATGATCGCATCTTCGTCTGCTGGGTGGGCCCAATCTTAATAAAAGATGACAGAGAGACTCTGGCCGTCAAATGCTACGCGGAAGCGGGGAGAGAGTGTGGGACGATTCAGCGTATTCCTGAATATAATATACCTGCCGCGTTTGAATCTGTAGCAGGCGCACCAGCTCCGTTTTGTCGGTCGATGGCCGTGACAAGCACTGACAGGCCGCTGACACACGACCACCCACACCTGCTAGAACTGGGGCCCCTCCTGTCCAGCTGCAGTGACTCCCGGCTGCCCTCACAAACTAGTATCACCTAACGCGCGTCGAACGCTTTGGCTTGATTCCCGTGAGGCCTTGTGAGTATGCGCTCTCCATTCGTCCCCTAATTAGTCCAATCACACGACCACTACGCAGTCAGACACCCCCTCCTGCTAACTTAGACACACACACTCGCGTTAACAAGACACACCGTGACTGACGCTCTCCGTGAACGGACGCTTTTCTTTGTTGCAAGAAAACCGCCAACTTACGTCAACCTGCCCTGTGTACAGAATAAACTAGTCCTCACAGCTCCCTGACTTCTGACAGTAGACGAAACGAACTTATTGTGCGTGGTTTAAGTCGACCTCACATCCTTGACCGTTACAAATCTATCACTATTTGTTAAAAGACGGGGCTTGGAAGTCGGCCACCCGGCAGGATAATTCAGCCTTCTCGGTCAGTAATGTGCGGTCGTTTAATGGCTCCTCCCTAATGTGTGACCCCTTGACACTCTCTCTCACATGGCACCCCGCTCCACCGTACACTGGACCTTTTTTCTGTGACACGTATAAACCAGCCGTTTGGGTTTGTCGGGCAGTACCGGAGCCCGCCTCGTGCCGTCCTGACTCCGTTCTGGCATGTGGGTGAGGGAGGAGAGAGCGCGGCAGATACTGTGCAAATCAGCTATTACTGTAATAGCTAATTCGCGCGCGAGTTGTCATCCCTGTGCCCGTCGTGCTGTGCAGCACACGGTAGGCATGGTCGTTAGCGACGGTCGAATTGTATGTAGGCAACAGTCGTAGGTGGACTCCTGAACTACTGTCTACACAAATACATTGGATAAATCAAAATGGTTTTACCCTTATTGGCTAATTTGCTGCACTTATGGTAACCTGAGATCAGATGACAGTCGACAGTCCAAATTTAAATGTGGTCAGACAGACTTAAGTATACATCCGAAGGAATTTGTTTGCCATGGAGTTAGGAACTCATCACAAACATGAACTGGACAAGGTTCTACCTACCTAAGCAAGTGTCTAGAAGAGAGAAGGAGACGTTGGCTAAGTCAATATAAGTACTACGTTAGGTTCGTTGGATTGCATCCTTCACACATGGGAAACAATGCCATTATTTGCACCGGAAATGAGTGCAAAGTCCACAAAATTCTTGTTTAGCTGCATTTAAATCCATGAGATTGGGTGAGTCTATTGGGAGTAGCTGTCGACGAGCGTTGAGATATCAACATATCTTCATCGAAATGTGTGAGGGCAAGCTTGAGGGCGTGCAACGCGGACAGTGCGTTTTCTCAACTCAGGGGCAATGAGCGGGTGGTTTTTGGGACTTCATACTCGGCATACCGAGACCCTCATAGGCTTTTGCATTTTTTAAAGTTGCACAATCAATAAAGTAGTTTCTCGTACTGGTGGGTCTGACCAGGCCGTCTAGACGAATAGTGATACACTTATCGACATTGAACTGCAGTAGTCAACGATTTGACCACTCCTCCGAGCAATTTTGATTGACTTACAGTCTATATTTGTCGACAGGGTCCTGAATTACGTTCCATATTTTTACGTTTATAGCAACGTTGTCGATTCGCAGTCCAAATATTTTACCCAATCATCCCCGTACACGAGAAATAAAATTGGTTCCGGTAATAAAGCCTTCCGAACACCACTCTCGACCGCTGTAGGGTCTGATTTCTCTTTACCAGTTCGTCCAACCTGGTGCTGACCCATAGGGAAGTTTTAGATCCATTTGAGGAAGTTAATTCTGATCCCCATTTTTCTTTTTTGTAGGCCTGGTCGTTGATATGTGTTACTCGTTACCAAAGGAAGCAACGTGACTTCCCTGGCGCAGACATTGATGAATGGTGAAAAAGTCTCATGCACAAGCGAGTAGCTCGATATTTTTTAGTGGTTTTCCTGCTACGCTTTTAGAAACGAACAAAGTTAGACGGTTGATCGGCAAAGGGGACCATCGATGGATAACTGGGACAGGTGTGACCTGCGTTTATTTGCCTTTAATTACACCGACTTCTGTGAGTGGATTCCGGTGTAGTTTCTCGGCACTCCGAAGTCCACCGACTGACAGAACTCGAGTGAGAAATCAACGAAAAAATGATTTCAGTCCAGCCTTCACGATTTTAAACCCCGAAACCCTTCATTTTCAGTGCTTTAGAGGACACCTGTCCATCTATAGAGTACGCAAAACCTGTAACCTTTACCGGTTTGGTTGTACTTGTCGCAAACCCACCATACCATGCCCGGGAGACTATCTTAAAACGGCATTGTCGGATTCCATAGTCGGCAATATGACATCGCGTAACCGCAGGTCGGGAAAGCACATAAGGTAGGAAAACAACATTGAACGACCGTCCAATCGTTTGAGAGGAAGCCCTGAGCAGTTGTTGCCCACCAACTAGTTAAATATTTGTGCTGATGTGCAACCGCCTTCCCCGGTGTGGTTGGCCAGTGGGAAACCCAAGAACACGGGTTTGGCCAAACACCGGGTGCAAACACGCTGTTTGAAATGAATCCGTTCTGACTGATGTGGGCATGGATTTCATTCAGGTGCAGATTGCAAAGA